TGAAATTTGCAAATGGAACTATCTGCCAATGCGCAGGTTTGGCGGAGATATTTGCATAAAAAGAGGAGAAAACGCACCAAATGGCTGGCATATTTTTCATTTTCCAAATTTCCTGCGCATTTTTTCTGCCTTGAATGCAAATATCTCCGCCAAACCTGCTCATTGGCAGATAGTTCCATTTGCAAATTTCATACTAATTATATTTGTGATCGATTGACACTAATTTCGTCCAAATCTGTGAGCATACGTTGGGAGACCTCCATTGTCAGTGTTACTCATTATTTTTATCAAAGGTCGCTTCAGAGTTTTATATCGCGAATGCTTAGCTTAAAATCTGAATTTCTCAATTTTTATAACTATCAAATTATGACCTGATTCCAAAAATGAAAGGTCAGAATTGTTTCCGAGCAATTAAAAAATATGCTTCAAAAGACTATTAAAACCTTCATGCTGGTTCCAATTTTTTTTAAATGATTTAAAAATTGAAAGCTTTTGAAAAGTGAATTTTTTAAGAATAACTCGGTGACACTCTGAGCAAACATGAGACATGTTCTATTTGAAATAGATTAATACAAGTAAATTTACAGTGTTCTTAAAAAATATCCAGTTGGCCAAAAAATATATTTAAAACCTCCGCCAATGGCGAAAATATTTTAATACGTGCACTGAAGAAGGTGCAAAAAATTGATTATCGTATTTCTAAGCGTGAAAAATGTTAAATTAGTCCGGTCAAAATCGGAAATAAATATTTAACACCTTCTCATTGTTAGAAGGACGTACAATAATTGGGACGTACGAATAATTGATATAAAATAATTTTGACATAAATAGCTGGCTGTTTTTGGGAAAATTGAATTTGAAATTAAAAATCGTAGCATTAACCTCTTTCGTACATACAACTGATTTTTAAATAAAATTTCCCTTCGGTACGATTTTGACTTCATAATTATACCCGATGGAAACCAATTAAAATTTTCAACCAGTTTCCAATATTGGATATTTTGACGAAAATCAGGAAAAAACCACTTTTTAACATTGGTCGGTATAGGGAAAACACCAAAGTTTTAGGAGAAAAATATAGAAAAAAATCCACTTTTCACCATCGAGTTTTCCACAAAATACCGAAGAAATATTCTTTTCTCAAAGAAATTTTGGTGTCAAGGAAATTTCTTCAGTACACACATTTGTGTATTTCGTCGCCAACGGAAAAATAAAATACTACACAAATGTATGCACTTCGCCGTGAACGGAAAATAAAATAACTACACAAATGTGTGTAGTTCGTCGTTAAGAGGTTAAATAAGCCACATACTGTAATTTTTCATAAATTTTTTTTCTGGTGCCCACGTCTGAAAATATCCTAGCCCCGCCACTGGATGGGACAAACTCAAAGAGATGGGACAAACTCAAAAATATTTGTCAGCCTCAGGAAGACTGAGGAGTGGTCGTACACCCTACAAAGTATATATATATTCTTAATCCTCTTGCACAGACCTTTCCAACGATACCCTAGATATGGGGTGATTTGAGACTTTGGCTTTTCAGAGAAATTTGACGTGTTGTGAATCTTGACCTAATAACGGTCACCGTGACCTAATTTCCAAAAAAGAGAAAAAGACCCGCAATTGTATTGGCCCATGGTAGCTTGATGTGAAATTTGGAGTCCCTGCGTGCAATAGCGGCTGCGAAAACGTGGTATCTCAACGGAAAAAATCGATTTTCGACATCAGGTCCATTACCATAACTCATGGAGTAACCCTTTAAAGGGTTACTCTCCATAAATATGGAGAGGAGGAGGGCAAGACAGAATCCAGAGGACAATGGGGGGATTTTTCAAAATTTTTTGAAGATAATACGACAGGGGTTTTGACAAAGAAGGATCTTCGTGTCCAGAATACCGGCAGGCTTGACAGACATGTCGTCCTACTGGTGGATTATGAACCAAATGCACTAGTTTTTATGAACTCTTGGGGAATCGATTTTGCTAATGGGGGATATTTCCGTGTGGAAAATGCGGATGTGCTGGGGCTTGAATTTTACGACGTTTTTTCCCACAAATCCGATTTATTAAAGGAAGAAATCCAAGCGTACGGAAACCAAGGATCGGCACGGCCAATGACCGGGTCTCTCGAAAGCTTGAGTACAGTTTCACTTTCTGGATTACGAGCGGACCTGCCATTAGATACAACGCAGTGGTCAACGCCAACCGTTCAGGCGGCGGCGGCGGCTTGAAAATGTATAGTGGTCGGCGGCGGCGTGGTGAGCAAATATCGGCGGCACCTACATAAATTACTAAACGTAAATTACTAAATTACTAAACGTATCTGCAATTTCATAATGCTTAATTAAAAAAATTTCTAATTTATTAAAAACACTCATTCCTATACAGATTTTGTTGTTTATTCCTAACTACTAACTTTATAAAAAAACATACAATTAGCATCGAACTTGTACATAAGGTGCCATAAAATCAATCAATCAACCAACTGCCCGGTAATTCATAAAGCTCCTTAACCCAAAAACCCAAATCCTAAACTTTTTTGGTACACCAACTTAAATAAATATGAATTATTGACTCCAAGATAATGGCTTCTGTTAAATTGGTTATGCACGCCTTTTTATATTTCTTCGGAATAACTCGAACGTATAAAACTATAACCCAAAGTAACAAAAAAGTAAATAATTTGCATAATTCTTTTATAATTGGAATTAAAACAATTGTAATACCGGTTCAATACTAATTTAGTTCATAATAAATTAAAAAAATGTACTGCTGAAAATTCAAATGTGCGCAAAACGACGGGCTATAATTACACATTTTCAACCAGATGTTACTCTTTAAAATTATGATGTGTGACGCTTATTATGTGTGTGTGTAGCATATTCTCAACTGGTCGACGGTAAATTGTTCTGACACGGAATATTATTTTACAGGGAATATACGTACGTATATACATAGGCCTACGAAATTGAAATTTGTTATCCGTTAAAAACTTGAAATTTCGGCCGGTTTGGAAACTTTTTGAATTAAAAAAATTAACCAGTTTTATATCTGGAGTACGTGTCAATGTGGTAATTGTATAACACTTCCCGAAGGAGTCTTGATCTTCGACGTTGTTTGTTTGTTTGTTTGCTTTTATTTCACGTGACATACAACCTATCAGTACAAAATTAGACTGGTCTCCCTAGGGTGACACGATTGACCATATTATTATAACTTAATTGATTAAAACTAAAATATAACTAACATCTTAACTAAAATCATACAACTATGACCTCTTATCTAATAACCATTGATTAACGGATTTTCTGAAGTTGAGACTTTTGTCATCTATATTACAAAACTCTCGGGGAAGACAGTTCCATAATTTGCAGCCCGAATAACTGAAGGAATTCTGATATGTAGATGTGTTGTGATTTTTAACTGAACAGAGGATGGTATTTCTGGTAGCCATGCTACAATTATTGTTCTGAGGGGAAAATATTTCGCATAAGGTTGAGATCCTGCAACCATATTTTCTAACTTTATATATAAACCAAACAGAGAAAAAGCAAAATCTCTCGGAAACCGTTAACAGATTGCGTTTCTCTAAGACAAGAGGGAAGTCTATGGAGTTGTAGACTTTCTCGCATTCCTTAAGAGCCTTCGTGGCTTCGCATGGGGTCAGCTCTAACCAAAAACGCTTATGTTTGTATTTGTGTTTGGATAATAATAATTGGCGGTTGGATTTATTTATTTGGACGAGGATAACGAAATAGACGACCAGTTTGGCAAGTGCGCGTGCGAGAATGTCCGTTTATTTATGAACGACGCGGCAAACTTCAGTATTTAACCATGTTCAAGGAAAGTAAAGGACACCAACTAATTTCTTTGGCTCACAACGGGTTAATTGGTATGTACACATCTGCCTATTCCCGAATTAGGGAAGATTAGTTAAAAGTCGTTGATGGATAATTACTTAATTACGCTTAATTTAACCTGTCACGATTATTTATTGCGGAAATATCTCCTGAGAAAATTACTTCTATTAATTACATAATTCTAAGATAAACCAATTACGAAATAATTATACACTTCACTCCACGATTCAAATTTTAAATTATTTACCTGAGTATTTGGTGTAGTACCAACCAAACTATTAACTTCCATCGGGCTAAATAGTCTCTCTTATTTCGCTCAGTGTTGCTGAGAATGTAACACGCTACGTCGTACCTTACTCGAGTAGAAATGTTGTTAAATTCGGTATTACCCGGTATGAAGGGACACATTAGGTTGTGTTCTTATCTGGGATTTACCTTGTTTCTGGGACCCTGCAAAAGGGCGATTTAAAGTTCCCGTCTCCTTGACAAAGTGGGAAAAACTTGTCTATTACGGAACCACTCTGGCAGTTTACGCGTACGGAGTCTTCCTCGTTTCAAACAGTGTACGATTACAGGGTTCAAATAGATCCAGCACAACTGAAAGCATTGTCACTTTCTCGATCAGTCTCGGCTTTGGAGTTATGTTGCTGATGAATTTAATCATTTATACAAAACCAAGGGAAATTGTAGGCTTTCATAATTCCATGTTGGACGCTGAATTGAAATCTTTTTCGCATAAATTAGGTAAGATAAATGAGATCTGGGGAAATCGTGTACTATGACCATACATGTTTAAAAAATATTTATTCATTCAAAGTTCATTCATTGAAAGCCTTGAAAAAGGAAATTAATTCACTCATTCACAATTTGTAAAATAAATATTCATTAATTTTTCAACATTTATTCATTATTCAACATTCCTTCATTACTCAGTTTATTCAAAATCCAAAGTATTAGGTGAATTTCTCAACTTTCCCTTTGTAATAAGCATTGAGTTAAAAGTGAATGATGAAAAAAGTATTCATTCATTATTTACCCGTGTGAAAATGAATATGGCGAATTCGGCAGGATTCGGCAAAATCATCCTGCATAAACCATTCTGCACAAAACTTTATGGAGTTTTCTGCACAAATCTAACTCAAGATTCGGTGAATAGAATATGCAGAAAAATGTTTGCAGTTTTCTGCATAAATCGAAAAACGACAATTGACTAGTGATTTCTGCGGAGCAATTTCTGCATAAATTTTTATGTTAATTTATAAAAGTTATAAAATGCGTAACAAATATATTTATTTGCAAGTTTTAGAAGAAATTATTTTATTCAAATTCTACCGTATTCATCAATTGTGTTGCAATGGACAAACTTCCTTGGTTATCATGTTGACCAATGAACTTAAAATTTTCAATATCCGAAGGTAAATAAATTTGAACATTATTGCTTACATAGTTAATTTTAAATGATTTTGGAGAATTCGAATAATCAATAGTACTGCATCTTTTTACAAAAACCAACGCATTGCTAACACCACTAAGTATGATAATTTTAAATATAACAAACAATTTTCCATTAATTTTTACAACGGAGTTGACATGTTGTTTTGTATCACTACTACAAACATTAACAAACAATTTTTTATATAAAATACAGGATTTAAAACTAAAACCTTCAGAATGTTGATGACCAATAATTTTAAGCTTAGCTTTTTCAGAGGTACTAAAAATATACAATTTTTTGCTTCCTAATAATCTACAATTATCAATGGAATAAGAATTTTTAAAAAATCGCTTGCATTCAAGCAAAGATTCATGAAATTGCTTAGCCCCTTCACTTAAAAATTCCACTTCTCCGAGACTGTAGACCTTTTGGGTGCAAATAGCTCGATTAACAATTTGAGTACTGATTTCTCTAGTACCACAAAAACTATTTTTGAGAATACCATTGTAATTTTCAAACTGAAATAGAGAATATCCCCAAAGTGGGCCCCATTTTCTCACATTTTCCGCTGCGTGGGTTAATAAATGAACATTAAAAGAACAATAACTTTGGCCATAGAGGTTTGGAATAAGCATTGAAAATTCTTTGATTAATATTTCTGCTACCAATATTTCATCCATTGTTACACTATCTTGACACAAAATCGAAATGGAATCTACAAGTTTAGCAAAGTGTTTTAAAAAACAATCTTGAAGAATTCCTTTTAGCAGCGGCACCGCAATTAGCATCCAATTTTTCCATTCGTGTGCCTTCCAATATTTAATGCTGCTGAGATCCCTTATTGTCCTGCTGCAGTTCTTGGGAATTTTGCATCTTCTTAATTTTTGATTTATTTGATTTTCCTTATTTCCAATGTAAAAGATTTCCTGATGATTCTTGGGCAAAATCCAGGCAAATGTCAACATTCGTACGACTCCCAGTAAAACAGTGTGCATGTAGTCAAAAACGAAACCATCGACGATTGAAAAATGTGGAATTTTCAAGAGAGGGGAGGCCAATTTAATTCCATAACGATTTGAAATAGATGATCCAGTTGATAGCAAGTCTCGAAGTTCCAAAAGCTGATTCAAAAAATGTTCCTTGTTTCGATTCGCAGCAATTTCAGTTGGCGGAAAAATCCATTTATGACTTCTGTCCCCTGTGGACAAATTGAGCCCTTTAGCCTGACACCATGGACAACTATACTCCCCATTGAATTGATTAATTCCTTGCAAGGGGGCACGAGCGACGGAATCGGCTGCAAGCATTGGGAAAAATATTTTACTTTTAATTTCCACCCCATTAAAATTCCATTGGATTCCTTCCTTTGATAATTGATTTGATTGATTAATTAGTGGGTCAAGAAAAAGTTTGAAATTTGGCTTGCTATCATTAAACCACAATCCAGCCAAAATGGTGTGCTTTCTTCTTAAATCGTAATCCAATTCGTTGATTGAAAGAAGTAGAGGCCAAATGCATGACTTGGAAGAGTTGAAAATCGAAACGCCGTCCGTGTTGATGCAACAAGTTATGTCAAATTTTGATAACTTTAACTTTTTATATGCTTCTCCATCCATTATTCCGGATGACTCGTTATTATTAAATTGACGTTTGGCAAAATTCTTTTTTAAACATTGTGCAATATTTTTTCTCTCCAATAGTTGCTTCATGATTGTTGCAATGTCAAATGACACGAAAAAGTTGCCGTCCTTTGTAGCATTCCTTCCAGACTCTTGACAACTGGCGCAACTTCCGTTTGTCTCCAAAATATTTTGACAATTGGAGCAAAAGGGGATCTTTTTTGCCTGATCGTAGCAAGGATTCAGTTTTTTGCTTAACAAGTAGACAGATGAAGGAATTGTTTCCCCTTGTGGGAGGTGAAAATTGATTAAGGTCAAGAGGTCTGATAACGCTGATTTGCTAATTTTGTGTCGAAAGGCATATCCAAAAATTAACAAGCAGCTTTCATTTGCAGTTAGTTGAGAGTTGGGGAAAATTGGTTGAGATTGGGATTTTTCTTCGCTCTGTGAACAAATAAATCATGGGGTCATATTATATTAATTATTATTTATAAACATACTTATCTTACGTCATCATATTCTTCGTCACTGGATAAATCATCAATCCCTGGCATTGAATTATCATTATAAGCAACAACCTGTATGAAATAAGAAGAATGTAAACTATTGTAATGCCAATAAAAAATTTAAAAATACATTATCATCCAGATTGGTTTCTTCCTCATGTTGTGGGCTATTGCCGTTGACCTCCTGTGTATTTTGAGTTTCATGTTGATTATCCAAATTACGACGAACGCCCTAAAAAACAAAAAATGCTGTTGCTTAACAAGTTTCAACTAAAAATTATTTTATTACCTTTTGACTAATTCTGTAACGCGTTCGGCGAGGGACGAAAAGTGACCTACTTGACCCACCAGTTGGAGTAAAATATTTTTTATAATTTTTTCGTGTTGACATTATTATTTAATTATTAATTATTGAATTAACTTTTTATATACGTACACATCGTAAACTTATTATTTTGTTTAATTCAATAATTGAAGACTAAATACTGCCCTAAGCCCATGCCAGCGAAGTTTAGTATTTCACACATGGTCAAAACTTTTAACTTTTTTCTTAAAAAATAAACTTAACATAAAATAAAATGTCGTTTTTATTGGTCGAATGGTCAGAAGATGACTTTAAGACATATTCTGTTGTGTCAATTGACCAATTAGAAGACGGAATTTTGCGTGCGAATCCTGGAAAACTTGTTGGAACTGTCGTTGCAATTAAATGGAAAAGGAACTCTATCCATCGTGGTCTCGTTTTACAAATTGGTAATTATTTTCATTATTTTCGAACAAATTAAAGTGATATATTTAAAATAATATATTTTTTAAAGGGAAACACAAAAATCTCTCTTTGGAAGCTGACAAGTTAGCCGTAAAAGCAGCTGACGAAGCTTCAATCATTAAAGAAAAAGACAAGAGCAAATTTGATAACTCTTCAGGAATTAAAAGTAATTTTTGCAATATATTTTTTGAAATTCTAATTTTATATGAATTAATATTTTTTCCAGTGCAAAAATCTAAAAACCGAGCCAATGAAATTACAGAAATTGCATCCCAAATTCCTTCTTCTCAATCAGTTGACATGAGTTTAAATGCGGAATTTGCTGACCCTCCTTTGGATAACGAAACAGTATCAAAAGGTGTTATATAAGTATATAATACTTCTATTTACAAATTAATTGATTCGGATTTTCAGAGAAGTATGATCGTCTCAAAGGACGTCACGATAGGTTGAAGGAGAAATATCGCGAGTTGAAAAAATTGGTAGAGAATTCTCACGAAGTAAGTCATATGTGCGTATCTACATTCGCAATGGAATGATTTTAAATAACATTTCTAAGTGACATAAATTTTTTAAGGTTGAATTATATGAAGGGTCTGGAGTTACATTGCCAGCTGCTGAATTAGCTTCGATAAAGATTATGTCGAATAAACCAACAACCCTGGCCAGGAACTTGTTTCGTCGACTTTTCTCTCCGGAAGAACTAGCGAGTCATTCCCTAAATGGAAAAATTTGTAATGCAAACCAATTAGCTCCCCCACTTCCAAAAATTGACACAGCCAAATCTGATGCAGTAATTAGTAAGTGGCAAATTAAATTCTACAACAAAATCATATCAAATTTTACAATATGTATAATTTATTTATTTTTGATTTACTAATTACGGATTCCCTTTTTCCAGAATTTGTTCTTAAAGAAGAAGGATTCGACAACTCACCAAATGCTGACATTAATGAGGCCAACAAATCGTTTTTGAAGAACAAGAAGGCGGTAAAGCGAGAGATTAAGAAATCTCTATCGGATTTCCTTAGAGAGTGTAAGAAACGAAAAGATTAAAATATTTAAAAATATTTTTGCTTTAATAGTTTGTGAAAAATTCTAAAATAATTTAAAGAATTAAATAAATATCTTTTGACGAATGAATTCTACCAAAAGTTTTATGCCTAATTTATTCTGCACAAAAGTGGGCCAATTTTAGCTCCTAAAGTTTTATGCATAAACAAAACTGCAGAAATTTTTCTGTAGCTAGTTTTCTGGCTAAAATTTTCTGTACAAAAGTGGGCCAATTTTAGCCATAATTTCTGCCGAATTCGCCACTATATTTTCTGCAGAATTTGGCTCATTTTTTTCACACGGGTATTCACATGAATTGAATAGATATTCATTGAATATTCATTCAAATTTTGAATGAATAATTTATTCATTTATCATTAAATGAATGATTGTGAACAGGTATGACTGTGACAGACGATTTCTCCAGGTGACGAATGTCAAGAGAGTTATAAGTTCGTCAGTTAGAAATTTTAATTTTGCAATTTTTGGATAAAATTTACACAGAATCAATTTACATTTAAAGTTTTTTACCTTGTAGAAACCAATTCCCTGGATAATTATGTCGAGAAGATCGCCCATTTCTTCTCCACCCACTTGAGGATAACCTCTTATCTAATGATTCCAATGTTGACTTTAATTTTCTGGATTAGGCCATGCTCCCCGCCATTTCTGGGGTCACTGTTCTTAGCCAAATGTGATATTTCGTCCGTTCAGAGGAAAGTTTATTATGTTTTTGGCATTATTCTACAATATTTTTGTTACTTTGTTGTCGTTAACTTTGTGTGTTTTGTGCTTCTACATTTGTTCATCTTACCAATCGTGTGTTTCTTCTTATGCGTCAGGAACTTGGAGGGGTAAGAGCAACTAAAATTATTTTATTTAAATAGATTTTCTTAATTAAATACGTCATTCGGGGTTTTAATAAGGTTAACTATTAGGGTTGCGACCTTAGGACACTTGGTTTTTGATATAAAACCTAAGTGTCTCAGTTCCCAAGGTCGCCACTCTATGTACCTAATGAAAACACAACTGAAATGTTGTCATGGTGATGGTGATGTATATGTACATAGCTTCTCCTTCAAAATAGTGATAATTAACGGCTGCCTTAAATAACTTATCAGTGACGTTTTAGTGGAACACACTTTAAAATAATTGATTATCTACTTTACTTAAGAAAGGCGAGTGTATCGCTGCTGGCTGGGTGGGTGGTTCAGTTGAGAATTTAGCCTCTCCTTCTCTCTCTCAACTCTGCAGCGAGAGAAGATAGATGATAACTTCATTAATGTTTCGGTCACGGGCTTTTTTACCGTCGAATGACGGGCGTCAAAACTAGTAAAATCATACGACACAAAAAATAGAATAAAACTTGTTAAATGTTGTAGTAAATTCTCACAAGTTTGAGCGAGTTTACCTCGAACTTGAATGAATTTAATGTGCATTTGGATAAGGCTTACTCAACTTTGTAAGGTTTGTTTGTTTGTTTAGTTGTGTCATCTCATTCGTCTTATTCTAGTCAATGTCAACTTTCCCAAGCTTGTTTTTGCTTTGGCAAGAAGAACATAATTATGTTATGCAGACATTTTTGCAAGAAATAGTAGAATTGTCACTTTTGAATTTCAGGCAGATTATGTAAAATCGCTAATCTTTATCACCTCTTATATGTATTTGTTTGCAGATCAGAGCATCGTCGCAACTTCTCTCGTCTTATAGTACGCTATCAATACCTGAAATTGTTAGAAATTCAGTTCAACACTATATTCCGATCCTTTTTCTTTCCATGTGTCTTATCAACGTTGACAATTGTGATAACGACCTTTACCGTGATTTTGATTCGGTTGTGGAGAAATATAGCCACTAATCCAGCCCTACTAATTGTTCCGGTTGGGTATTTCAACGCTGTCCCGATCTATGCTTTTATCACAACCGTTTCCGGAAAGGTGAACATGCAATCGGGGTATTTCTTGAGACGGATGAGAACTCTTCGCAGCGATAAAAGTGACAAAATCAGGCGAAAAAAGATGAAATCAATTTCTGAGTTGAAGTTTCGTTTTGGCGATAATTTTATCGATTTTTCAAACGCCCCTTGTAATGTTGAATTTTTGCTTGGTGCAAATTGCGAATATGTTATTGCTAACGTATAAGTAGCATTAGCTTATTTACATATATAATAATAATTGATTTATTGCATCATAGCCAACAGCCTTTGCATATCATGAATGGTTACATAATATTGATATCATAAAATGGTAAAAGTGTATAAAAGTAATTACTGGTCGGAACATAAGTCAAAATATTTGGCGACTTTGTGCCAAAAAAGAAATTAGTTATTCAGTATTTTATCACTATACGAAGCAGAAAAAAGAGGAATATAAAGTTGCATATTATTAAGGGGTGAAAGCCCTTTATAAGATCGTTATGTCCGTCTGTCCGTCCGTCCGTCCGTCCGTCCGTCTGTCCGTCCGTCTGTGTGTCCGTAGCTCCGATAACTTTTGAACGAAAAGACATAGACACTTGAAATTTTAAACGTAAACTCCTAACGTCAATGGACAGGACGAGTTCGAAGATGGACACTGTGACATCGTCACCTGTGACGATGACGTCGTCACAGTGACGAAAAGTGACGAAAAAGTGTCACTTTTGACATGTGACACATCATTTTTAACTATTTTTCAATGAGGAATTCGAAAATTCATGTCATTTTGTGTTTGGACGTCACCTGTGACGATGACATCGTCACAGTGACGAAAAGTGACGAAAAAGTGTCACTTGTCAGTTTTGACATGTGACACGTCATTTTTAACTATTTTTCAATGTCAAATTCAATGGTGACCTCCATTTTGACCTCAGAGGTCATATAAAGGTCACATAAGGGTTATCAACTGTTAAATTTGACACAAATAAGACACAAAAGTCGAAAACACGTCAGAAGTGTCAATCTTAATAAATTTTCGAACAATTTGATATTCACATTGACGTATGACACTCCTTTCACCCCTTGGTTACATGCGTTGGAACGGTTTATTAGCTTATTTAAACGACACAGTTTCATAAGACCCATAAGAATACATAAGACCTATATATGCATCACATAAGACGAACATATAATTATGTATGATAAAATATTTTGAAATTGTGCTTGTTTATGTAGCGGCTAGCACGAAACCTGAATATGCTCTTCCAAAATTAGTTTACACCCACTTTTACATAAATGCATCTCTATGTTCCCCTTCCTCTGCCAGTGTGGACATGAAAAATTGATTTGCTTTTATCCGGGGTTGCGTGTTCATAGTTCAACCAGATTAGTACACCCTAAGAAATCCGTAAATAAAATCATAAGTATGTGCTTTGTCTTACATAAATCATATGTACACTCAAAACAAAATTTATCAAATCAACACCGCCGGTGTCAATATATGACAGTCACATTGTGACTTAACCGCCCTGGTTACAATTGTGATTCAGAGTGGTAATGAAATTTTTCCTTCCGTTCATAACCTTATACCGGTATCAAGATCATCATAATTCCGATTCAACATTGTAACCAAGGCGGTTAAGTCAAATATTGACACCGGCGGTGTTGATTTGACAAATTTTGTTTTGAGTCTAACTGTTCAACAGCTACATAAATATGTATGCAACCATATGTACTTCAGTCATCCCGATTTTTGAGTGAAGATTTTCACTTCAGTTTCTTTCAAATTCATCTCATTTCACTTCATCTGACTTCATTTCTTATTATTTCGCCGGAGATATAGGGCGAAAGATGAAAGGAGTAAGGCATCCTTTCATTCACATTCAATCATCTGAAATGACGAGGTTTCACAGTAATATGAATGAAAGTGAACAGGTATGTTTACTATGTATATACGCTAGAGTTGTTAGAGTGCATGTTATTTGTTCACCGCATGCATAATTTACATATTGTATGTACAACTATATAATAAAAATCCATCGTACGAATAAGCGGTAAATGTCTCCCTGCAAAGAATTTTCCGAAGTGGATGAAGATAAAGGGAACTTTCGAATGACGCATAAATTCGAACATCTTCATTTTAAAAAAAACACTAAATTTTTGGGTTATCCAGGTGTGGCAATGCATTGCAAGCAGCTTTATTAAATGCCAAGAATGCCTCAGAGTTTTATAAAGCTTTGAACTTTTATCGCCGAAAATCTAGATATGTAGGTAACGATGAACCATCCATAAGTCCAAATAAATTTTATGGGTATTTCGCAGGTGTTTTTGATGCTAGCCCTGTACCATATCAAGAGTCAGAACCTGAAAATGTTAGTATTGATGAGCTAGATTCAGACTTTACAATAAATGAATTAAATTTAGTAATTAAAAAATTAAGCACCCATAAAGCACCCGGACCTGACTCACAAGTGTCACAGTTTCAGGCAGCATATAGGAAAGGAATGGGATGTGAAGATCACATTTTCGTCCTGAATTCAATTTTACAAAATAATTTGAGAAACAGGAAAGGGAAAGTATACGCATTATTTGTCGATTTAAGTGCTGCCTTTCACCGAATTCAACATGACAAGCTTTGGTTCAAACTAAAGAGGGCTGGTTTAAGCGACAAAATGCTTAAAGTTATTAAAGATATATATTCTAAAGCTAAGGCCAAAATTCGAACTTCTGATGGGGAAAGTAATTTCTTTCCCTTCAAGAAGGCTGTCCTTCAGGATGAGACCTTAAGTCCAAAATTGTATACTCTCCAAATGAATGACTTGTTTGACATTATGCATGAATCCGAAATAGCTACTATTAATATTGGTACAGCAGAAATACATCTACTTTGCTACGCTGATGATATTATCTTGCTTTCTACAAACGCTATCGACTTACAGCAAAAAATTGACTTACTTAGGAGGGGAGCTTGCGAGGTTGATAATAACAGATCTTGATGCCCTTTGGATATGTGGTAGGGACCCATGAGTGTACTATAACCCTGATGTGGTTTGACTCCATGGCCCCATCTGCGCCCGCCACACCCACTCAAAAATGCCCAAAAAACGCTTTCACTCCAGTTTTCACTCACTCAAATCCACGCCAAAAATCCAATTTTACTCGGATTTTGAAATTTCTTTCACCATTACACTCCCAGATAGTTGCTTTCTTCAATCCAATATCAAACTCAATTTTGCTGATGACTATTTCGCAGGCATAATTTGCGTTGTTGATTACTACAACAATCCTCATTCCGAATTGCAATTTTTAAAAATACTAAAAATTTCGAAAAAATTGAGTTTGATATTGGATTGCAGAAAGCAACTATCTGGGCGTGTAATGGTGAA